CCAAATCTCGATACCGTCGGGACACAGGAGCGGTCGTATCGACCAGTTCTGAATGTACGAAGTTCAGAAAGGTTGGGATGGGAGGGCAAAGTCAGGCGGGTCTTTCTGGCAGGCACATCACGGGGCGGCATCATGGAAGAGAGCTCTGAGGAGCAAAGCCCGTTGATGTAGCGGTAGAAGAGAGCTAGGTCGCCGACGGCTCGCCGATGCGAAAGGTCCCAAAACTGTCTGTTAAAAAAGAGTCATGGATCAGTCGGACGAGTTGTGTTCATGCCAGATCAGGTCCTCGGATATCTGGACTCCGACCAGCCGAAATGAATGGAACTTTGGCAGAACTCGGCCATCCATCGAAATCGGATGAGCTCTGGTACGCTTTTTGTCCGTCAAGGTACAGTACTGCGTTATGGAGCATTAAGCTGCACAAGATTGTTGCGTCCCCAAGCAGTGATAACCTCCAAGTCTCTCGTCAGAGAGGAAGTCGTCGCTAGTCTTCTTTTTTGGCTGTAATCAGCGAAGAGGAACAGCGTCGTAGCCAGACCGATCCCTGGGAACACCCGCATTTTTATGACTTTTTACCATGGGCGATCGCAGGGAATGGTCAGGGCTTCTGAAATATCGCTGCTTCCTCAAATTTGCGTATTTGTACTAGCTCACAAAGAGTTTGCTCTTGCCTATTTTACCCTCCCTTGAGAAAAACTTTCTGCGGGTGCCCATGGTTTTAATCGTTGCAATCCACATTGAAGGCTGTGCAGGGAATATATCGGTTACTCGTAAAATACTCTTAGGCTTCAAAGCAGCATTTTGGTTTGGAATCTAACTTCTGAGACTTATCGGGAGATACATTATTGTTCTAATGCATCCCCGTAATTTGACCAATTTTTAAATAAGAGGAAATGGTGGTGTGATTTCTCTTTCCTCTTTTTAAATCAAATTTATTTAATCAATTAATAATTGACTATAAATGAAATCTAAGGATCAGTCAAAGCAAAACAGCTGTCAAGTGGCGTTGCAGATTTAGGCCTAGCTCAATAAAGCGGAGAGGTAGGGGAGGGGTTACGAGCGCCAGTGACTCAAGACGGATTAAGTCACAAATCCTCGAGATGGCTGTGGGAACTTGTTTTGCTTGACCACCACACAAAGAAAGAAAATCTAATACTAATGATAAACCTAATTAACTGTATACAGAGAGCCAAATAAAAAAAAAATATCTAAAAACGAATCACAATATATTGCCAAAAACAAGCAGCACATATACTCCGCCACTGGAGTTGCAAGTTAAAAGAGAAGATGTTATCCAATACTACTGATAATAAAATTATGAGACCGTAATAACTAACCCTGCAAAACGTTTACCATGGTACACGTACAAAGGCTTACAAATATAGGCCTTACAAATAGTTTAACGCCTAAACCTAAACTATCTGGACAACGGTCTTATCTGGATAAAGGTCATCTTTCCAGTTACAGTTCTAGGTACAGCTGAGATGTCCACAGCTTACAAACGCTCAGGTCAAAGGCCAGTGGCTGCTGCCTCGTTTTCAAAATTTACGGTATAAAAAACCCTGTTCAAAGAAAAGGGGATGGCTTGTAACAAAATCGGCTGCGAAACATCTACAAAGCAGCTACAAGACAAAGCTGGAGGAGTGTGAATGGTGATTCTCCACAATGGCCTTTGCACGCTGGAGGTTAAAATCCCATAACAGAATGGGGGGGGGTAGTAGTACCCAAACCAACACAACTAAACCTAAGGTACAAAATAAAAGGGTACTACTCCATAAACTGGTGCTTAGCGCGTTAATATCCCCAAAATCTGGAAGTTAACCAATAAAATGCCCGCACACAACCAAAACTACAGCAGAAAGAAAAATGGAAGCTGGACCCGTCTACGCACGCAACCCCTAAGAGAAGGTTAAATAAGTTGGCCCAAGAAAACACTTTAACAGAACATCAAAAGGAACAGATAAAAGCCGGTAAAAGAAGGTAAACATTCATATATGGCTAGTAAGTATAAACATCATAAGATGCGCGCGCTCGTTTCAGATGGCAGATTGTAGGCAGAAACAATCTGTCGACGAGGAACCAACAATATTTACGAGGAAATTTGTAAGATCGTCGTTAATAATACTATAACATTAATGTCCAAAAGATTTCAATACAATACTGAGTCGCTGAGAATGACGGATATAATACGTGTGAAATCCTACAATAAATAAACTATGAAATTTGACAAAGAAAATCATGTGAAAAGCGTTTGGTCTAGGAATAATCAACAAAGAGAAATATAAATTACTCATAAGTGGTCAAAATAGTAAAAAGCAGGGTTACGTGATTTTAGCACGTGACAATAAATAAAATTGCAGAAGATGTGTAATGATGACCTTACCAACTTTGACCATAGTCGACGATTCTCTTTTTGAAAATGACATACATCTCTCTCCCCATACATGATGCAGTAAATAGTATCTCAATATGGATCAAGTTTTGCATTATCCGACCATCTATCGTTAAATTATACATGAAAAGTACAACTGAATGAAAAATATCGCCAACCGCTTAAAAATGGAAATAAATTTGAAAGTAAATTTTTCCATCAGCTAATGTTAGGGATATCTTATTCAGATCCCGCTGCTGAATATGTAACAGACGGCCGAAAATTAAAATTTTTAAGGTGTTACTTGCGTTTGTCACAATTTATAGCAATGTCTGGAGTTTTTATATACTCAAGGTATTGTACTACACACGTTTTTATGCAATTTCAACGAAGTCTATTAAGCTCGTGGGATAATCCATATGGCATTTAATTGGTATCTTACGAATATTATGATATTTTCTCGTATTGCTTTCGACAGGAATTATGAAGATCTTGAAAAGCTATCATAATCTAACGCCCTCGTAACTTGGAGCTTCAGTGACGATGGGACAGCTTTGCAGAGTCCACGCTTAGGCAACCACTTACGCGACCGTTGCGTCAGCGCTTTGCAGGCTTAGCCGATGTCTAAGAATAATTAAGAACTGTTGTGAAGGCACCTGCTGCCATCTAAATCACTTCCATGGAAGTTTCGCGGAAATGCTAGAATATTTCTCGGCTCGTTGATAGGGCCATAAATATCCGACCAGATGGCGGCACGGGGCAGTCGTAGTCGAGTCAGCAGACCCAGTCGACCCAGTGGAAGCGAGCAGAGTTACGATGGAATAATAACCCAGTCGATATAGTTGTAAGTTGTTAGAAATTAGTTGCAAGTGTTGTAGAGTAATAAATTAGACTTTGGACAGTACAAACGGGTATTTTCGTTACATATGAAAGCTTACGGATAGGCTTTCGGCTAACATTTTGAAACTTTTTCTGCGAATATTTTCCGAATTACAGGGACTCAAAGATATGTATTTCCATTCCTATTCTTGCCCCTACTGACCACTTCACTAGGATTGTAATTTGTCATACGTACGCG